AGAGAGAGAGAGAGAGAGAGAGAGAGAAGCTGGAGGATACTGGATGAACGGAGGAGAGAAGGGGAGGAGGTAGGACGGGAGGGAGGATGGAAAGGGGAGGGGGTTTGTGTATGTGTGTGGAAGAGCGAGAACCACAGAGAGACAGAAAGAGAAGCGACAGACGGCAGGGGCGGCAGCCGGAGGAAGAGTCACAGTGAAAGAATCAGTAAGGCAACCGTCTGAGAACGACAGATCCAGAGACACAGAAAAAAGAGAGGAAGACGGAGTCAGAGGTAGGCTGCTCCTTTCTATTACCTTCATTTCCTTCATTATACCAGAGCTAAACACAAAGCCAGGCCCAGCGTGCACTGCACGAGATCATTGTGTGTGTTTTGGTGATTATCTCATCTAGAGGGTCTTTATTTTCTCTCTGAGCCAATCAGTGGTATATGTGCAAATCAGCACTGCACTGCAGATGGAGAAGAGAGAGATTCAGAGGAAGAGAAAGACTAACGGAGAGAGAGGGAGAGTAAGGATGCATTAGGCATCTGAGCAGAGAGAAAGAGCAAGTACTGATGCTTTCACAACAGTGCTGAGGAAAACGTGCCGACCTGTTTCCATTATTGATAGTAAGAGTCCATCAGTTTGTTCATTGTTTGTCTGAGGTGCATGTGTTCCTGCAACAATGTAAGTGAAACAGAATTAGGTCACTGCGAGTTGAATTCTAATGGTCTGGATCTGTTTAGAAATGGGTGCAGGGTTAGAGAAATGCTGCTTGTACCACAAAACACAAAACGCTTCATGACAACAGGCATTTAAACGATTAATGACTTTGTGCTGGCAAAATAATGATTCTAACATGATGTAGCCTCCAGGCAACATGTATTCCTCTAAGATCAATGCAAGTTTTGAAGATGGTCCAGGAAAACATTCAAACAGATGTCTACAAATGTCTTGCTGTCTTTCTAATCTCTAACAAAAGGCGATTCTGTGTGATCGCTGACCTTTCACCCCTGGGTCAGCTTATTATTCATAAATCCCATTTGGCACTAATATAAAATCTTTCTCAATGTGTCATCAACATGCATCACTTTTATCTTTAGAGGTGCTAAAGAATAAGTCTCATTTGTTGGCATAATATTATTATAGAGAGATCAGTGGTTCTGAGCAAACTTCCAATGGAGTCTTGGACTTAAAATTATATGTTTGAAAACATAAAAAAAACCACATTAAAAAAAAAAAAAATGTTCACTTCAATAACTAGTATTTTAAAATGCAGAATCAAAATCTGTTCTAGATAGAGGACTGATTTGTAATTTGTTACACTGAGTTATTTGAAGTTATTCGACACAAGGAGAAGGTTTATTTCAGACCTTACATGCATTTCCCAGATTAATCACCAGTACTGGATCAAAATTCATCTTGAGGGATATAAAAACTCCTCTAACAATCTTGTACATGCTTTTATCTCTGTCTGTGAAAACCTATCCATTTCTTAGATAACCTGATTGAAATCCCTCTGCCATTATAACAGTTTAAAGGAGCCTTATCCCATGCCAAGCAGCTCTCCACCTGCTTTCAGCTGTGTAAGCAAACAACTCATTATGATTATTTGCAATAACCTTCCCATCAGTCACAGATACCGTCAGTTATCTTACAGACCCCAAAAAATCAAATCTGGAATTTTGTAGCGTTTAAGTGAACCTGCGACCTCCAAATGACTATTAACTGCTAATTTATTTATTTTAGGGATCAGTAAGATTTTTTTGTAAAGGAATTAATTCATTTATTCAGCAAGGATGCATTAAATTGGCCAAAAGTGACAGTGATATAAATACATTAATAATGTTACGACAGATTTCTATTTCAAATAAATGAAGTTTTTAAAAACTTTCTATTCATCAAAGAATAAAAGCATGGTTTTCACAAAAACATTAAGCATCACAATTGTTTTCAACATTGATAATAATAAGAAATGTTTCTTGAGCAGCAAATCAGCCCTAAACTCTTGAAAGGTGTATATCCCATTCAACTTTCCTGTTTTATCAATAAAGGTCAACACAAACAATTTGCACTTGTCAAGCAATTGTCTTCCACTGTTGAAAAAACGAAATGTCCCGTCCTGAACTCACACCATTGGTTATTAAGCAAGAAGCTGACATGTCAAACTGCTGCTCAGACAATGCTTAATTGTTTGATGGTGCAACAGAGCCAGTGTTTCACTTTTCAGAGGAATTCACCTAAAACAGGGACTGGAGAAAGTATTTTACAAAAATGACACAATTTCAATTTAAAGTTAGCTCAATATAAGAAGAATCTAAAGTTTAGAATGAAAGGTGTGTTGAAACTGGACTGTTTTCAAATGATTTTCAAGATGTTAAATCATATTCAAATGGATGAACTCTGTGCAGGTGGCCTATAGAAACATAAGCTTCCCTATAGTTTACATATTTCGCTCTGGTTCCCTTCAGAGTCTCAGAGAGTAAATATCCTCCAGGCGGCAGGCAGACAACACCATTCACCTAACGACATTAAATGTGTTTTATACACCCTTAAAGTTTTTAACAACCAGATTGGATTTGCTGTTCTGAAATTCAGCACACATCCGCACAATTTAAGAAAGCCAAACAGATGCACTATCTGCTGAAGACTTCCTGACCTAAACAGACCTTCAAAGCCAATAAGGTTGCAGAGAGGTCTTTGTCAGTATCTCTCTCTCTCTCTCTCTCTCTCTCTGTCTCTCTCTCTGTGTGTGTGTGTGTGTGTGTGGTTTTCTTAGATCCAAGCCAAAACTGAAAAGGGCTCTAAGCTGTTCTGGACAGAAATAGCACACATGATGACGTGTTCATGCTTTCATGCCAAAGCTCATATTTGTCTTTTTAGGTTTATGAACAAGCCATGCAACATTAACTCTACACTGGCTTTCTACATAACAAGATATTATTCTTGATAAAATACAGCAATACTACTATTACATATATGAACAAATCATTTATACATACCATTTTAACAGGATGGGGTAATTAAAAAATGAAATTAATACTTTTATTTAACATGGACATATTAAATTGGTCAAAAGTTACCACGTAAAGACACTTAGAATTACTACTTTAAATAAAGATGTTCTTCTGAACTTCCTTTTATCAAAGAATCCTTAAACGTATCAAATAAAAATGTGTGTATTTTAGGAATAAATTATTTTAATAATTCATTTTATAAATTACTTTCCAAAATAATAAAAACCTGGAATTTCTCTACTGATAGACTGTAGATTTATCATTTATTAAATGTTTGTCTAACACTAGTCCAGAACCTATTTTTTCTCAATATTAACTTGGCTGTGCTGTTTATACCAACATTCACACTGTCTCTCTCTCTCTCACACACACACAGATCTGTGATTTGTCATATTATACGGTGTATATATATATATATATATATATATATATATATTAGCAGGCACACTGGGAAATGTATATGATGTTATATTGTGTGTCACTACATGAAACAGTAACAGACGTTCGTCTAATTATTTTCACAAGTGTCACAATCAGATCTGCACGACTGGCTTGGTGTGAGTTCAGGGGGTGTATTACAGAAAGATCCTAACTTTAAAATCTTATCTTATCTGTTTGGTAACCATGGTAAATTCAGTTATGACCACATTTAGGACAAAAGCTATTACAGAACAGAGTTTCCTAAGTGTGTTTTCTTATCTTAACTACAGATAGGAAGGGGGTATTACAGAAACCTCCTAACTTGACAAAAAAAACACACACACACACACACACACACACACACACACACACACAAAACCTTTTAAAACACACCTCATATGCCCCTGTGTATTGCTTCCACTAAGCTCTTTTACCAATTACATCATTACCAGAACAGCATAAAGTGGGAATGACATCATCCTTTAAAGCAAAAGTAATTGTGGATTCCTGTCTGTGGTAGCCATGATGGGATTATTAGTTTATCTCTCACATTCACTCTCCTGATAATTCTGAGAATTGAATGCAGCTCTATGGTATTACAGGTGCCTGCAGCTATATATCATCACCTTTTTTTATTCTTTTTACAGTGAGACAGCTGTCCTAACTTCAAAATTATTTGAAAGCTAACGGAAAAACTGCTTACAATTGCGCTGTCCAACAATGGTATTACATTTATTAAAGGGGTGGTTCATTGCGATTTCACTTTCTGTCTTCTAACGATTCTAATGGATTCACAAGTTTCAAAATCAATGTTCTAAAGTAGTGGTTCTTAATACTGTTCCTCTCGTCCCCCTGCTCTGTACACGCTCTGCATCTCTCTCATATTCAGCTCAGCTCCAACAATGAACTGTTACAATTATACACTTTTTTCACATAGTTATGAGAAGCGTTAAACATGGACACACGTGCAGTTGCCGTACTGTATTAAAGCTTTAATCAGGATAAAACTGTATATTAAAAGCTAACATAAGCAGTAGCATTTA